ATAGATTGCCCATAGGTTAACCATAGATCAAAGGGATAGCAATGGAAAGCTTCCATTGACCGCCTCCATTTCCGACTCACCATTCACCGAGGCAATGTAGTCACAGGGCTCCACCTTTGGGCCACGGCGGCGCCGGGTGGGGCCATGGTTGAAACCATGGGAGATATGACCATTTAACCAACAATCATTGGGGTTTAAATGCTTTTCTACATGGTTTAATTATTATGTGTTTTACACGTTTAATAACTATGAGAAATTATGGAAGTGAACCAGGATCGAATTGGAATCAAGTTTGGGCACGTTTTTTGTTGATCACCTGCTGAAAGTCTGTAACTTTTAGTGGGGCAAATGGTACGTAAACATACGTAAATAACATGTCGAGTCTAACTTTGAAAAAGATGAAAAACTAAGTAGCTAAAAGGGACCATAAAATGTGGGTGCTCAAAAGTGATTGTATGCAATATACAAGGTGTGGAGTAGTTTGAAACCAAACAAATGAGGAATATACTGAGGTTACTGTAGAGCAATGAAATTTAGGAGCTGAGTCAACTCGAATGGGGAATCAAAGAAGCAAATCATGGCATGTCTGTGCTTGGTAAATCTACATTGAATTTTGACTAGCAATGCTGGGATAGGATGGACCCTGTGTTTGGGTCTTTTAACCAAACTCAGTAGACCTCAAACCCAGTGAGGCCGTTTTTTGCCTCAAAAATTTCAAGGAGATGCCGAACAGCTCAGTGGAAAGCTTGAAAATCCCTATTGTTTGATGATACCAAAGGGCACGGCCCCACCTTCGCGAAGGAGTTCTCCGCGTTCCATTGGTCCAACTTGCCTCCCGGAGCCTTGGCGGCCGGATGTCAGCGGACGTCCATCGCTCCAGAAATGGCAGAGGGAACTGGCAGTTCCCTGGTGGACTGGTGCAGTTCATGGTGTGGAACCGCTGAGGATGAGACGATCATGTTGATGTAGAGCATATCTGGCCTCGGAAATCTGAGGGAACCCCCAAGCTTTCGCATCGAATGTTCGGATCAAAGGACCACCCCGAGGCCGAATATAGATATAGACATATAGATATACAATTTACACATTATATACAATATATATATGTGTGTATATATGTGTGTATATATGTGTGTATATATAATGTATATATAATGTATATATAATGTATATATAATGTATATATAATGTATATATAATGTATATATAATGTATATATAATGTATATATAATGTATATATAATGTATATATAATGTATATATATAATGTATATATAGGATGTACTGTAAAGAGTATGTATATACATATAAATATATATATATACAGTGTATATATGTATATAGCGTGCACGTATACCTATAGTTGTAGAGAGAGAGAGATATATATATATATGGCAGTATAGCAAACATATAAATATATACATGTTCTTTTTTATTATTTACTTCAATTATTGTACTTATTTCGAGACATCAAGACATCCAGCTATCCAGCCACCATTTTTCTGCACCCTGCCACCTTTCCCACTGGCGCTGCATGGCGGTAGTCGCACTATACATAGCCATCGGTGGTTTGAGGCACTTCCATGCAAAAGTGAAAACATCGAACTTCTTTGGGCCCTCTGCGGACCAGTTCTTGCAAGCAGCTTGGCTGCCATCCATGCGGATGTCCCGTGGAATGCGTCGCAACCATGGCTGTGACCATGAAATAGCATGGCATTGTGATACACCATGGTCAGTTTCCCGAGCTATCCACACATGTTAACACCATGCACCGGGGACTCTAACAAGAGTATACAAGAGTTGTTTATCAAGTGGTATGTTTCCATGTATGACATGAGATAACACCATTTTCATCCAGCGACTTCCTTCCATAATTGCTGGGATGCACATCCAAGGGCGCAAAAAGAACGGACATCAAGAGGCCGGCCTGGTGAAGCCTTGTGGACAGGAGCGCTGGCGTATCACCCAATGGAAACACGGATACTGTTGCAAACCCCATCCGCCCCCCCTAAAAAAAACATAATAAATCATAATTGCCCCATTTACTCTATCTCACCACTTTGGCCACTTTGGGGGTCTCCAAAACCATACCCAAGAAGAGAGTTATTGTATGTTATTATGATTTAGTGGGCCTTTCCTGCCGGACTACAACTGAGATACAACTGAGTTGGTCTGAAATACTAGAGAATTCCCAATCTCGTGATCATCATTTTCCCATATTTTCCCCATCAAACTGTCCATTTTTTGGAAGTCCATCATGCGATTCAAACTTTCCTGGCTCCGGTGGGGCTCCACGGCCGCAAGGCACTGCGCTATGGACGAAACTCTCAAGTCAGGTGGGAAAATCCGATGACATATCTTTAAATGATGTTCTTCATCAAGATTTGTAGAACCGATTATTAAGTTGCCATACAGTAGATGATATTTCTACTTTCTTTCTCGAATGTCCCCATACTATATTTTGAAAATGAGCCATAGGTGGCGTACCCATGATCTTGGCAGTTCGCCTGCCGCCCCCGCGAGTGGCAAACGGCCACTCAGAAACGCTGCGTAGCCTGCGGCCAGGAGTTCACGTGTCCGAGGAAGGAACTAGTTCATGGGATGAACGTAAACCAACCAGCATAATTGGGAGGCCCTCAATGGAACCCATATTCTAGGGTCAGCACACAGCCCAGGGTGCTGATGCATAGTAGGAAGATGTAGGAAGTGTTCGAAGAAACACGGCAGGAAAAAAGAATCGGGTGTCCCTGAAATGACTTGGAAAATAATTAAATGAACATAACACGTGCTAGATGAGGGAGATGATTCCCATGGCCAATGTTGATTTGCCCAAGACAATCAAAGGCCCCACGCCAATATTGGCATGGCAAGTCATGAATATCCCATCGCCTCCGTTGAGCCAAGCAGTTCAGACCTAATAATTGGTTCATACATGATGTGCTCATAATGATCATCTCATGAATCCTTGGTTGGGAACCATGAGTTCAGAAAATGGCTATCAATGCTATCAAACAAATTGACCCCAGCAGTGGAATCGCGCAAGGATTTTTTGACACCCAAGTTTATAGGTTATAGTTTATGCCTCTGAGAGCTCAGCAAGACCCCCTCCAGAACTAATCTCTGAAGACTGCTTGGCAAGGTCACTCGATCCAGGCTCTGTTTGACATTCCGATTGCAAGCCACGATATCAAAACCCATGCCAACACCCAAAGCCATGCTCGCCTGAGACGAATCTCCGACCGTCAAGCTTTCCAGCCCATTTGGCAAGCTCACGCGGTCCAAGCTCTGGTTGAACTGTAAGCCGAAAGTCAAGCTTCGAAGACCACTTGGCAAGCTCACCCGCTCCAGGCTCTGATTAAAATAGAAACCAAAAGTCAACCTTTGTAGAGAGCTTGGGAGGTTCACGTGGTCCAAGGTCTGGTTGAATGAATGACCGAAAGTCAAGCTTTGAAGACTGCTTGGCAAGCTGAATCCATCCAGCCTCTGGTTAAAAGAAAAACCAAATGTCAAACTTTGAAGACAGCTTGCAATTGGCAGACTGACACGGTCCAAGCTTTGGTTGAATGAAGCACCGAAAGTCAAGCTTTGAAGACTGCTTGGAAAGCTCACGCCGTCCAGGCTCTGGTCGAATGAACGGCCGAGAGTCAAGCTTTGAAGACTGCTTGGCAAGCTCACCCTGTCCAGGCCCTTGTTGAATGAGTCACCGAGATTCAAGCTTTGAAGACTGCTTGGAAAGCTCACGCGGTCCAAGCTCTGGTTGAAGGTCATGCCAAAAGCCAAGCTTTGAAGACTGCTTGGCAGGCTCATGCAGTCAATGATCTGGTTGAACGAACGGCCGAAGGCCAAGCTTTGAAGACTGCTTGGCAGACTGACACGGTCTAGGCTCTGGTTGAATAAATCACCGAAAGTCAAGCTTTGAAGACTGCTCAGCAAGCTCAATCCATCCAGCCTCTGGTTAAACGATGAACCAAACGTCAAGCGTTGAAGACTGCTTGGCAGGCTCACGTGGTCCAGGCTCTGGTCGAACGAAGGGCAGAAAGTCAAGCTTTGAAGACCGCTTGGCAGGCTCATGCGGTCAAAGTTCTGCTTGAACGAACGGCCGAAGGCCAAGCTTTGAAGACTGCTTGGCAGACTGACACGGCCTAGGCTCTGGTTGAATGAATCACCGAAAGTCAAGCTTTGAAGACTGCTTGGCAGACTGACACGGTCTAGGCTCTGGTTGAATGAATCACCGAAAGTCAAGCTTTGAAGACTGCTTGGCAGACTGACACGGTCCAAGCTCTGGTCGAAGGTACGGCCGAAGGTCAAGCTTTGAAGTGTGCGTGGCAACCTCAAGCGGTCTGGACTTTCAAAGCTTTCCAGGCAATTGGAGTGTTTCAGAGATGCCATTGGGAGACTTTCCATTTGCGTCACTCCCTCCAGTCCGAACTCCTCATCGGGGTGTGCATGTCCTCGAACGAAACACCATGCAGCATACAAGTCTGTGGGGCATAAGGTGCAGGACAAGGTTGCATCTTCGTCCACAATGCCTTGCTCTCGCAGGGTCTGATGGAGAATCAACTTGGCATTGCCATGGTATAAAGCAAGCTTTGCCCCTGGTTTTGATGGACGCTCCTCCAATACCATCCTTTGCACCTCCCGGCCCGGAATGCTGCTGGGGACCCTCAGCTCCAATGCTTCACCGTTCATGCGCAGCACCTGCAAATCCATCAAGTCATGCTGACTTCCGGGGGAAGCATAACCCGCGGAGGCCATGGTGGCCGCTAAGGCCGCTAAGGCAAGGAAGGCCCAAGGGATCCTCTTGTGGGTTCACCCTAAAAGGCCAGGACGAAAACATGTGAAAACCATCCACAAAACGCTGACATCTCTACCTTTGTTTCTGTTGTGCCAAATGGTTTTCGACCATAAAATTGTCTCCAAAGGAGTGGTCCATTTGGAATGCTTTGCCACACGAAAATCCCCAAAAAAAACAGCCACCAATCCCCCAAGTTTTTGGCACCTCAGCCCGAGGGGTTAAAAGCCTCCATCTTTTCAAGCAACGACTGCGCCTCGGGTCCACTGAGTCCACTGCAAAAACCATTTGGGAGGCTGAAGCGCCCTTGATTTTATTGTGGAAGTGCCTAAAGAGTTTTGGTGACTGAAATATGGCCCGGAAAACAAACCCAATTGCTTGTCACTTACCTTCTCTGTGATTTTGATAATGATTTGGCTTCTTGCCTCCATCCGTAGTATTTCAGTAGAGGTATCATCCACATCCTACTGAGTTCCCTTGATATCGGCCTGCTCAAAAAACCGGGTTTTCAGACCGCCATACAGCGACGGCCAGGGGCCAGACATAGTTCGGAGAGTAGTACTGTACAATCTCCGGCGGGTACTGCAAGTTGATGGTATCCACCATTTCCTTTTCCACTGCCAAAGCAGACATGTCTAGAACACTCGTCGATGGCTTGGGCAGGAGATGACACGAAATACACCTCTGCCATGCCGGGAGCAGATTCTGCTGAAAGTCACTTCCCCTCTTTTCTTTCTACCAGACGTGCCCAAATCTCACAACCTGGGGAATCCTAAAAAGCCCAAATCGTTGCCCTGTTGGGTCATGGATTCGCTGTCAACGATTTGGGGAACCGGAGCGCCTGCAGTTTGGAACCTCGCTCCGCCTGCACCTGTGCAGGCAACGGCTGCCATGTTTCTGAATCGTCCTCTGTCAAAGTGTATGTCATTTTGCCGAGTTTCTGGACATCTATGGACATCTTGTATCACATCTTGTGATTTCAAGGTGTGCTTGATGTGTTCTTCTCTCCCCGCATTCAAGAGGGAAAAAACCATGTAGAAACAACTTGATCGGTGTGTTTCAATACTTTCCCAGTTGGGGATGTGTCAAAAATGGAAGCCCAATGAGCGCACATCTTTAGTTCTCAACCATCCATGATCATCCATGTGTGGCGCAATACCTTGACACATATATCTTGTTGCGCTGTATGCGTCAGTGTCAGGAGACCCTCGGTTTCTTGTAGCACATTTTTGCCGCCGCAGTGAAGGACGCCAGAGGTAGAGTCTTGCAGGCACAACCGATGGATATGAAAGAGGTTCGGTTCTATCCTTTTTGACTTCAACCAAACAAATGGACGGCAAAGCTATCCAGACCAGTCTCTTCCTCAGCAAACATTAACGACCACAAGTTGTACGATGTAAAGCTAAACCTTCCGGATTCGCCTCACAAGATATTGGTTCATCATTATATCACATATCCATTTCATTTCATCCTTCCATCAGGGTTCTCATAATCCCAGTGCACTATGTAGACTATGTAGTCCCCAAGAAACAACCTTCCCCCCAAGATTAAAATACCCACCAGCCGAAAGCTGCACGATGTAAAAAACCGGATCTGTTCTCGTCAGGATCTTGTCTGTCCATTTCGATCATCTCCCGGGTGGGAGATGAATCACCAACCCCTTTTTGGGTTCAACAAGCCACACCCATCCCCCCTTTTTTTCCCACTAAGCCAGTGAGTACTCGCCAATGTTTCCCAATATCCCAATGCTTATGAGTTTTATATCCAATCCGAACTTCAGTTCCGAACCCTCACCATTCTATCCCCATGAGATACCCATGATGAGTTCTATGCCCCTTCCCCCAGCCCAGCAACAGCGCCACCTCCTGGAGCTTCTGCAAACTTCCAGACTGCACAAAGGCCTTGCGCGCCTCCATGTCGTTGGGTAAGACCTTGGCAAACTGCTGCACCACGTACCTCGCGCAGAGCGGTGGCGCTGGAGGGAAAACTCAGTGGATCGCGCTGGTTGAATTAGGGAATACGTAGGGCGATTTTGGAGTTCTTTGTTTCAAGCCTTAAGCCTTAAGCTTTCCTACAAAGTAAAGTTGCGGTTGCAGGCCACTTGGTCAAGGTTGAATGAGAGGGGCCAGGGTGTGCCCAGTGCAACAGAGCTTGTGCCAGGGCGGTCCGAAACGCCCAAGGCACTTCAAGATATTCGGTGGCGAGTCCAAAAGTGGTTCCAGCGCTGGCAGGTGTGCGCACTTCTGGATGACGCTCTTCCTGGGTTCGCAGCCCTCGAAACCGACGTCTCTGTTCTTCTTTTTCATGGTCGGCATTGTCGGCAATGATTGCGCTTCACCAAACCATTGGCATCTCCAAAAATTGACAGATCTAAGAGACCTTGATCTTCCAAATTCATCCAAATTCCCTACCACAGAATCGTTGACTCACAAAATTCTGGGGATTTTGCCAAACCTCGGCATGTGACAGGTCGAGTTTCAGGGCTCGCTTGGCTTTCAGTTGCAAATCTTCACTCGAATCCCGGTGCAGATAGACCGCCAAGATCCTGGCCCAATAGGAGATGATGGCGAAGTCTACAGAATTTCTTGCCATGTTTTCATATGGTTTCTACCCTCTGGTAATTTAACATAGCTATTGAAAATCACCATTTTTAATGGGAAAATCCACTATTAATGATCATTTTCAATAGCTATGTTAAATTACCAGATGGTACACTTTCTTGGTCATTTCTATCCACCCGGTTTTCTGAAAATTGGGAAGCTTAGCCTCTATGGAAAATCGTCGAGCCAAACTGGTCATGGCTGACAAATTGCCGGAGGGTAGCCATAAAACCCCAGGGTTGAATCGTGAGAAATCCCATAAGAATCCATCAAAATCCCATAATCAAAATCCCATAGTATGCCATATAAATGTCCCTTAAATATAAAATCCGTTCAAAAAATGGAGGGGGAGGGAGAAAAAAAAACGCATAAAGTCAAAGTCCCTTCAACATCCCATGGTTTCTCATCATTTCCCCTAAAAATGGCCTGGAGCATTGGGTTCTCCCCCTGCCCCCATTCAGCCTCCTCAAGACATCTGCCTCTGCAAGCGCCCGCGCATGATCGGGGCTGTGGCGACCTGTAGCCCCCAAAGAGTGCAGAAAAGCTATGGGGAAAGGTTGGAAAATCATGGAAAATCCCATTTTTTGCTGTGAAAAGTCAACCCGTTAACCATGTTTTGTTGAGGTGACCATCAACCCGTTCGATCTAGGGCTACTAAGGCTACTAAGGCTACTAAGGCTACTACACACTGGCACTGACATGAATTGATCCCTCAGTTCTGTGGAGTTGGAACTAGATTGAGAATGATCTAGATGGCCTAGCAGCTAGTACCATACCATCCAACTAAATGCATGTAAAATCCAGTGCCTTTATCCTCCTCAGTTCCATCTGGATGCTGCCAATGAGTTTCAGAGGAAAATCATCTTCAAATCAATGGCCATTTCAGGATCCTAAATTGGAGGTACCTAGCATATATAAGGCCTATGTAAGGCCTATGTAAGGGGATATCCCCACAAAATATGGCCTTATATGGTACAGTGCCTCCATTTTAGTATCCTGGAAATCCCATTGATCAAATGGTGATTTCCCATCGCTGTCGCTAGTTCACCTTCAGTGGCCTGAGCTTCCCCACCAATTTGCCCCAAGGACCATGCGGCCGCCGCCTTCACATGGTCCTGTCACGGGAATTCATGGCTTCTAATGGGTGGGTGTCATGCAACATCAACCCCCATGAACTTGGAGGAAATCTATGGAAATCATGTCCCTTCTGAGTGGCAGAACCATATTCCAATTCAGCTAATGCAACTGTTGAGCATGTCATGGACTGGGTCAAAGTTATCAACCGATGACCCCTGGAAATCCCCAGCCGCGCCCAGTGGAACTTGGAGGGTCCCATGGAACCCCCCGAGATTCTGAGAGCCGTTCAGCCTTTTTAGGCGACTTTAGTTCGAGGGATCTGTTTCCCAATCTATTTACCCTCTGGCAATTTAGCATGGCTACAGAAAATGGCCCATGGTTCTAGATGATTTACCTGTTACATCTGGGGGATTTTCCGTGTAACATTACCAAAGGGTATATAGGTCGTAAGTTGTAAGTTACATAATTTGTGAAATAATCTGCTGTGGCAGTCCTCTGGTTCATTGATCAGTGCATCTTTCAGAGGAGGAATTCCTCTTGATACAACCTTGCCACAGGAACATACCGACCACACACATCTATGAGCTGAGAAGTGCCCGAGCACAAATCAGAATCCCTATACACATATATATATATATGCATATATATATATATAATATGTATATATATATATATACATATAATATATGAAGTGCAAGACCATGGAAAATATTCTTCGAGATTCTGGAACCATCAAACAAGTCACCACTGCCAGTGCCAAGGTCTCCGAGAACGCTGAGACGTAGCCCAAGGTCATGATCCCTGGCAAGCCTCGTCAGGGTGGTGGATGGAGCAAGCCCCTAACCTGGATGACTTTGAGCAGTTGATATTGGTTTATATATGGTTTTAATTGTTTTCATAGGTTCACTCCCAAACACTCCAAGTACTTTTTGCAACTGGTTCCAAAATCACCTTGGGATTTATCCCAATTTACATGTTAGAATGCCCCAGCCACTGTTACAGTTTGTGGCAATGGTCCAGGTGAACTGGATAGATTCTCGGGCCTGGGCACCAAGGGAGATATATGCGGTTTAATCCCACTTTAGATCCATGGGGAATCATCAAAGAACGTCAAAGTATCAGCTCTTAAAGCCGTTCTCATCGCTGTCGTCGTGACAAATCGTCATCACAGGAATCATGCCATCATAGCCCTGTTACTACTTATAATGGAGCCTCAGTCAACCCCAATCAGCTTGAACTCTTGGTCCTTCATCAGTTGTTAGGGACCATTCTGATCCAAGTGTCCAAATTGTGTAGCTGGTAGAATGGTTGTGGAAAAAAGGGGGCAAATGACACGGGATGTACAGTCCCATACCGTTCGCACGAACCTATCTATCTATCTATCTATCTATCTATCTATCTATCTATCTATCTCTATATATATATTGACATCCTGATTTAAATAACACAAATTGGAATGAAAAAAGGCATCACTAATTATTCATCGTTTTAAGGTAAAGTCTGCGGGAAACCATGGTTTTGACATTGACATGACTAAACTACGGAAAATGTAGAGGTGTCCTTTTTTCCCCTACGTCGTGCGTGGTCAAAAATTTCTAGGTGCACTGGCGCGTGCCGCGTTTTTTGCGGAAGTGATCAAACCTGGTTCAGTGGAAACTTCTTTCCTTAACATTTTAAGCAATGGCAACCCTATTCTTTGAACATCTTAGGCACTCGCTGTTCACTGCGTCAAGTTCCATAGGCTGCGCTACCTTTCTGCTCCCCACTGGTTTGTCCCTGTGAGGGCCACGGCCGAAGAAAAAATCTCATGGATTGAACTAAGTCTAGATTTAGCAAAATGTTTTCGAGTTTTGTGACGAGACTCTGGAAGGCGAATGATGTTCCAATTCGCGCAATTTCATCGCTGCATTTGTCCCAATTTGGATTCAATCGTGTGGCTATTGAAAAGAAACTCATGTTCCCTGATAAATCCGATAAATTACTGGCCTTTCTTCCCCAGTGTTTCCGGTCTCTATACCGGAGGAGTGGTTAGATCCTCAGAAGAAACATACCCAATTTGTAGTGGAAAGCTTCCTTGGAGGTTTTGATGTTGGATCGATCCCGGGTGCAACGTCGCTGATCCCTTCAGCGTTGCAGCTGAAGTTCGTGCATTGCCACGAGCTTCCTGAACATAGTCCACCATAGCAGCGATACCGCCAGCGTTCACCTCGCCATTATCTGCCATCGTTTTATACAAGAAAAATATAGAAAAATCATATAAGAATGAAACATCATGAAACCATATGACAGCCAAAAAAGATAAAATCAGAGAACATCAGCATGTTCAGTGAAAACGTTTTGTCGCCAAACAATCTCGACGATAACCACCTGGGCTGCCATGAAGTTCAACACAGTTTTCAAAGGGATGGCGATCAGCCCTGAACCAAGCAACAACGAGCTTCGCCAAGTCCGGAGTATGTCGGGATAACTCTCCTTGCAGCTGGTGATTTTTGGAACCTGTGGAACCTGTGGAACCTGTGGAAAGCATAAAATCTGGGGCGTGCTAAAAAACTGGATCACTATTAGCAACCTCACCTCACAGATAGAAAGGTAAGAAAGCAAAACTACTCAAATAGTGGTTTGAAAAGAAATCGGTGTCGATATGTTGATGTTCAATTATTATATGTCAGTATACCCAAAAGGAGTATCAACTGACATCATTTTCCCCGTTAAAACTGCCATCTTACCATCTTGAACTTGCATATCTGTGGTGCCCAGAACATCAAAGAAACCCACATACTTGTTGGTTTCAGCCCCGTGACTACTATTCCTGCATCGCTGGGATCATGACCCCAGGGATGGAAAATAAAACCAATTGAAATAATCAACCAGAATATAAACTTATGTTGAACCATGAAATAATATGACATGAATATAAATTCATACTGTATATATTCATGTCTACCGAGAAAAAAAATCTTCGGTGTGTGTGTGTGTGTGCAGCTTCGTTGCATCTAAAGTTTCTTGCCATACACCGGAAAATCGACATGTTGGACCTGCGACACGTTGAACCTGTGCTGCCAAGCATCGCACGCAGGTGGCGGCATTTTTCTGCACCACCCTCAGCCCATCAACTTTCAGCTGGGCTTCTGGCACAAATGGACTTACAAAAAGAAAATTGGGGCCATAATGGGCCATAATGAATTATAGACTCCATTTTTCGGGGATTCTACAAGGGATGTATATTATATATATCATAATGTATATATATATAATTATATATATATGTGTGTGTGTACTTCCCATACGAAAGATTGCCTATATTTCTGTTGGATGATACCCCTTTTCAGAGAGTCACTGGCCGGTTTGTGTTTCTGCCTGTTGACCATGGTCCGAATCACCAGCCCAATCTCAACTGCTCCAAGAAAAGGAAAAAACTTCAGCTATCTTCAGCTATCTGCCCAAAAAATCCCAAGATATCCCAAGAATTCCCAAGATCTATAGGACATAGGACCCATACGAAACACGCGGTTACCTCCAAGCATTTCCCAAGCGTCTCATCGACGTCGCGCAAGCAGTGCAGGATCCGTGGGAAGACTTCGGCCTCCACGACTACTTCGGCCAGGTCGACCTCGGTTTCCAAAACGGTCGTGAGGAAAGTGGGAGAAATGAGATGTCACTGGGAAATCACGGGGAATGTTGTTTAATATCACCAGAATACCTCAGTCAAGCGGAGAGAATCCGTAATGTTTGAAAGACCCTTGGAAGTTCCTGGAAGTAATGGAAGAAGTTTGAGAAGCAAATGGCCCAATGGTTGTGGCTTACAATACAATCATTTGACGTGTCCGACCCCCTTCACAATGGATTCTTGGCGAGTTTGCCCCAAAAAATGACCCAAAAAATGTCCATTGGTGCCCCAAGCCATGGGGGCGAAAGCTGGAATCAGCACAGATCTTCAGTGGATGGGTTCTCTGGATATTTCTTCACCGGAAACCATGGTAAAATGATGTAAAATGACCCTTAAATATCTCCAGTTTTGCGGCAAGATTGTTCTGTTCAACCAATTCCAGGAGATCTTTGGTCTTATCTTCGGCAGTTGCTGGCTACCCAGCTGTCCGGAAAAATCCTCCTGCTGGGTCAGCACCAGCTGTTCCGTTGCGGCGTAAACGTGTCCCCGGGAGGGCACAAACGTAGGCACATCCCTACTGGATCAAGGGGGATTCCTAACCTTACTGCTAAACGTAGGGAATGGGGGGAATGGGATGCTTGTTTAATTTAATATAATGGACTGGATATTTGACTATAATGATCCTTATTTGCTTTATGAACATTTAACATATTTAACCATATGTTTTCATGATCGTGATCATTATTTAAGTTACAGTAGTTGTCATGATGATGATTCTTCCCATATGAAGAATGAATCCATCACCCAAATTCTCATCATTCCCCCATTCCCTGCGTTTCGCGTTTCGGGGACCCCCGAGCTCCCGGGCCGAATGCTTGGCGATCCGCGCCAGGCAACCGCACACCTGGTCAATCCAAGAGTTAGTTGATTTTACCAGTAAACTAACAGTTTGCTATGGAAAATGGACCATAGATAATAGAAATAGGTGTTTTACCTATTCAGTGATTTTCTATAGCTATGTAAACGTTTACCAGAGGGTAGAATCATTGAACTATTGATACGTAAAAAAAATTACTTTACTTCGTGTGATCCCCACCATGACATTTATAGATTTTCTTACTGGCAAATCTTCTGGCATTCTATCTGACATATCTTCTGGCATTCTATCTGGCATATCTTCTGGCATTCTATCTGGCAAATCTGATGCATTCTATCTGGCATATCTTCTGGCATTCTATCTGACATATCTTCTGGCATTCTATCTGGCATTCTATCTGGCATATCTTCTGGCATATATTCTGACATATCTGCTGGCATTCTATCTGGCATTCTATCTGGCATATCTTCTGGCATAGTTCTGGCATATATTCTGACATATCTCTGGCATTCTATCTGGCATTCTATCTGGCAAATCTTCTGGCATTCTATCTGGCATATCTTCTGGCATTCTATCTGACATATCTTCTGGCATATCTTCTGGCATTCTATCTGGCAAACCTGATGCATTCTATCTGGCATATCTTCTGGCATTCTATCTGACATATCTTCTGGCATTCTATCTGGCATTCTATCTGGCATATCTTCTGGCATATTTTCTGACATATCTTCTGGCATTCTATCTGGCATTCTATCTGGCATATCTTCTGATATTCTTTCTAACTTTCTTCTGCACATTCTTTGTCCCATATCTTCCTACATGAGGTCCGGCAGGGAACACTGGGCGCGGATGGTCGCGGTTGAGGTCCGGCAGGGAACACTGGGCGCGGATGGTCGCGGTTGAGGTCCGGCAGGGAACACTGGGCGCGGATGGTCGTGGTTGAGGTCCGGCAGGGAACACTGGGCGCGGATGGTCGTGGTTGAGGTCCGGCAGGGAACACTGGGCGTGGATGGTCGTGGTTGAGGTCCGGCAGGGAACACTGGGCGTGGATGGTCGTGGTTGAGGTCCGGCAGAGAACACAGTGGATCGCGGTCGCAGTTGAGCAAGGACGACGAGGACGACGAGGACGACGAGGAGGACGAGGAGGAGGAGGAGAGGAGGACGAGGCAGGAGGAGGCGGAGGAGGAGAAGGAGGAGGAGGAGAAGGAGGAGGACGAGGAGGCAACTGACATAAAATCTAACAACCCTCACCTGGCAGGTGGGGAAAAACAAGATGAAGCCCACGAACCCGAATGCTCACACGTATGTTAATGGTACAGATGTCAAAACACATGGTTATGCAGTCACGCACAATACCTTTCTGCAATAGTTTATTTGAACAGTCTTGTGCATGTTTCCCTTGTTACCAGTCGGCAGTGTGGAGTGGAAAGTGTAGAGTGTGGAGTGTGGAGTGAGAAGTAAGGAGTGTGGAGTGTAAAGTGTGGAGTGGGGAGTGTAGAGTGTGTAAAGTGTAGAATGCGGAGTGTAAAGTGTAGAGTGTGGAGTATGGAGTGTAAAGTGTAGAGTGTGAAGTATGAAGTGTAAAGTGTAGTGTGTGGAGTGTAGTGTGTGGAGTGTAGAGTGTAGAGTAGGGAGTGAGGAGTGTAAAGTGCAAAGTGTGGAGTGTGGAGTGTAAAGTGTAGAGTGTAAAGTGTGGAGTGAGGAGTGTGGAGTGTAAAGTGAGGAGTGTAAAGTGTGGAGTGTAAAGTGTGGAGTTTGTAAATTGTAGAGTGCGAAGTGTAGAGTGTAAAGTGTAGAGTCTAGAGTGTAAAGTGGAGAGTGTGGAGTTTAGAGTGTAGCGTGTGGAGTGTGGAGTGGAAAGTGTAGAGTGTGGCGTGTAGAGTGTGGAGTGTGGAGTTTAAAGTGTGGAGTGTAGAGTGTGGAGTGTGGAGTGTAAAGTGAAGAGTGTGGAGTGTAAAGTGTGGTGTGTAAAGTGTGGAGTGAGGAGTGTAAAGTGGAAAGCGTGGAGTGTAAAGTGTAAAGTGTGGAGTGTAGAGTGTATAGTGTAGAGTGTAAAGTGTGGAGTGTAAAGTGTAGAGTGTGGAGTGTAAAGTGTGGAGTGTAAAGTGTGGAGTGTGGAGTGAGGAGTGTAGAGTAGGGAGTGTGGAGTGTAAAGTGAAAAGTGTGGAGTGTGGAGTGGAAAGTGTGGAGTGTGAAGTGTGGAGTGTGGAGTGTAAAGTAAGGAGTGTGGAGTGTAAAGTGTAGTGTGTGGAGTGAGGAGTGTAAAGTGTGGAGTGTGGAGTGTAAAGTTTGGAGTGTGGAGTGAGGAGTGTAAAGTGTGGAGTGTAAAGTGTGGAGTGTGGAGCGTAAAGTGTAGAGTGTGGAGTCTGGAGTGGAAAGTGTAGAGTGTGGTGTGTAGAGTGTGGAGTGTGGAGTGTAAAGTGAGGAGTGTGAAGTGTGGAGTGTGGGGTGAGGAGTGTAAAGTATAAAGTGTGGAGTGTGGAGTGTACAGTAAAGTGTGGAGTGTGGAGTGCGGAGTGTGGAGTGTAAAGTGTGGAGTGTGGTGTGTGGAGTGTAAAGTGGGGAGTGTGGAGTGTAGAGTGTGGAGTGAGGAGTGTAAAGTATAAAGTGTGGAGTGTAAAGTGTAGAGTGTGGAGTGTGGGGTGTGGAGTGGAAAGTGTAGAGTGTGGTGTGTAGAGTGTGGAGTGCGGAGTGTAAAATGTGAAGTGTGGAGCGTAGAGTGTAAAGTGTAGAGTGGTGGAGTGTGGAGTGTAAAGTCTCAGGTGAGGAGTGAGGAGTGTAAAGTGCAAAGTGTAAAGTGTGGAGTGTAAAGTGTAAATTGTGGAGTGCGGAGTGTAAAGTGTAGAGTGTAGAGTGTGGAGTGCGGAGCTTCCCCCATAGACACGGCGACGCCACAGGAAAACCAGAGACTCGAGACAAGACATGTGGATGCAGAAAAACCAGCATTTCGTACGAGACTTCCTCCAATTTTGACATTTTCAACACATTATGGAATGTCACAAAGTGCCACGCCTGCCACGCAAAACAACAGGACAACCTGCTTGGAAACATTCGAAAAGGTCAGGTTTTCCAGCTTCCCCCATAGACACGGCGACGCCACAGGAAAACCAGCGACTCGAGACAAGACACGTGGATGCAGAAAAACCAGCATTTCGTACGAGACTTCCTCCAATTTTGACATTTTTGACACATTATCAAACAGGTTGGAATGTCACAAAGTGCCACACCTGCCACGCAAAACGACATGACAACTTCCTTGGAAACCTTCGAAAAGGAGAGGTTTTGCGGCTTCCCCCATAGACACGGCGAAGCCACAGGAAAACCAGAGACTCGAGACGAGACACGTGGGAGCACCAAAACGATCATTTCGTACGAGACTTCCGGCGATTTTCACAGTTGGCAACATAACAAAAGGACAGGTTTTGCAGCTTCCCCCATAGACACGGCGAAGCCACGGGAAAACCAGAGACTCGAGACGAGACACGTGGGAGCACCAAAACGAGCATTTCGTACGAGACTTCCTCCAATTTTGACACTTTGCAGCTTCAAAATCGACGTTTTCCTACGAGTTTTCCTTAGAAGCTGAAAATTTGCAACCTCAAAATTGATGTTTCGTGCGAGGCTTCCGTCAATTTTCAGCACATGTCACAAAATGCCACGCCTGCCACGAAATTTGCACCTTGTCACCACTTGACGCATCCCTGCCAATGCGATTTGCAGAAAACACGCAACAGGACACGTCTAAAGTGCTGCGCCTGCCACGAAAAATGACGATGGACACGTCCAAAGTGCTGCGCCTGCCACGAAAACTGCAACACATCTAGACAAGACATGTGGATGCAGAAAAACCAGCATTTCGTACGAGACTTCCTCCAATTTTGACATTTTCAACACATTATGGAATGTCACAAAGTGCCACGCCTGCCACGCAAAACAACAGGACAACCTGCTTGGAAACATTCGAAAAGGTCAGGTTTTCCAGCTTCCCCCATAGACACGGCGACGCCACAGGAAAACCAGCGACTCGAGACAAGACACGTGGATGCAGAAAAACCAGCATTTCGTACGAGACTTCCTCCAATTTTGAGATTTTCGACACATTATCAAACAGGTTGGAATGTCACAAAGTGCCACGCCTGCCACGCAAAACGACATGACAACCTGCGTGGAAACATTCGAAAAGGAGAGGTTTTGCGGCTTCCCCCATAGACACGGCGAAACCACAGGAAAACCAGAGGCTCGAGACGAGACACGTGGGAGCACCACAACGAGCATTTCGTGCGAGGCGTCCTCCAATTTTCACACTTTGAAACATGCCGAAGAGACATCCCCCATAGACACGCCGAAACCACCATAAAACCAATGACGCGAGACGAGACAGGTGGAAGCACCAAAACGAGCATTTCATGCGAGACTTCCTCCAATTTTCACACTTTGTAGCTTCAAAATCGACGTTTTCCTACGAGTTTTCTTAGAACATGAAAATTTTGCAACCTCAAAATCGATGTTTCGTGCGAGGCTTCCGTCAATTTTCAGCACATCGCACAAAATGCCACGACTGCCATGGAATTTGCACCTTGTCGCCACTTGACGCAGCCCTGCCAATGCGATTTACAAAAAACACGCAACACGACACGTCTAAAGTGCTGCGCCTGCCACGAAAAATGACGATGGACACGCCCAAAGTGCTGCGCCTGCCACGAAAACTGCAACACATCTTCTGAACACGTCGCAAAAGTATTGCGCCTGCCACGCGCAACGACTTTCGACACGTTGCAGAACACGTCTGAATGTCACGAAGTGCCACGCCTGCCACGCGAAACGAAGCAACGACACGTCTGAAACCTCCAAAAAGGACCACCTCTGTAAAACTTCCCATAGGCACGGCCATACGGGGATCGCGCGAACGGTTGCGAACGGTTGCGAACGGTTGCGAACGGTTGCGGACGGTTGCGACCACAAACGCAACGTCGAGCGAACACACCCTCAGCCCCCAGACCCCCAGAGTGAAACGGGAACCCTTGCTACGCATTCGGGAAAAAACATAGCAGTACCAACTGATTACCCAATCAAAATCCAAATAGATTGCAAATCCCGAATGTCACCCATCAACCAATTCACAGTGTGATGGCAATGTACTCATTGAGGGGTGTCAAATTTCTGACCCATACCGATATTGGGATGAGTCAAAACCTAAACTCTACGAGATTTGGGGGGTGCACATCCATTGTATGACCCATGGTCATACCTGAAATAACTTACTAGAAACAACTACTTAAATCTATTGGATTTACAGCTGTAGATAGGGAACGGGATTGCCCTTCAGAGCTTTCCACAAAAGATGGACATTATATAAGTCCTTAAGATCGCTGTTCTAGATTGCTGTTCTATTGAGGGGTCAGGGAAAACAAAAAGTTGCAGGCTTGGCGGTCGATCACTTCCCAACTCAACTGATCCATGAACGCACGTGAGCGATTGATCACAAAAAACTGAAAAATCCTCATGCCGTTTGCTATGGTCGCGGACATCGTTTCCCTCCAGTAAACTAACATAGATATGGAACATCCAGCACATTTAGATCATTGTCCTAGGGAATCCCATGAAATTTAAGGTCTATTGATAGTTTACCACAGGGTAGCCCCTGAAACTGGCTCCGCACCTGACGTTTCAGCCCAACGTCGCTGTTGGACACCTCCTCCAAGTTTCAGACCAAGGCTGCGCGGAAAAACATGGAAAAGTGGTCGTCCCAAGCTGCAGCAACATTGTAGTCATCTCAAGCCATAATACACATTAATAAACATTAATAATCATTAATACATCAGACATCACCATATATGCCATAAACTTCTCCCGCACTCCAACATATTCCCATATATTCTCCACTTAAAATTGCTCCCACCCCAGATACGTTTGGCTGGAAAATGACTAGCTACAGTGGTAATGTCCTTCACCAATAGGGAACAGGTGCCAGCATCCACCACCAGTTGCGCCAGCTCGGGGCTATGTTTGGCGATGTCGCTGAGGGCCTTGGGACTCCCATGTTTTTGGCGAAGCGTCATATAGGGTGGCACCAAGAGTCATATAGGTAGTGTATTTAATCAATAATTAAGATAGATGAATAAACACACACATGTATATATATATATATTATACAGTATGCATATATATATATATGTGTGTGTGTGCATACAGTATATACATAAACACATGTGATTGCTAGATGGTGGTTGGTGATTATTGCCAATTAATGGATTATATGATGGAATTATCAGGGAACTATCAGGTATGACATCCTGGAGAAGCTGAAAACCATCTTTTGCAGGGACCCCTCTAAAGATCCCCAATATATTCAGCAAGCGGAGCAGTAGAGAGTGAGAATGTCGGCAGCTGTCGCACTTGTAACACAAAACTCACAATGGTGGCAAGGCAAACTATTTCAAACCGAGCAAGAACCGAGCAAGAACCGAAAACGGCAGAATCCGTGCCCCTGTGAACATACGGGACATTTTGCAAGTTTTGGATAGCTGAAGGCCCTTTTTTCCAAGGGACAGAGGCGCTGATGCGTTTCACGGTGAGATCTGGCTCCTGACCCGTGTGACCCGGGAAAAAGGGAGCGCTCGGATGGGACAACCTGGGACAGGTTATGACAGGTATGTCCCTTGTTGTGACTTTATGATGTGAAATGGTTCAGAATTGATTTGTTGATGTTTTCTTTTCAGGTGTTGGTTGTTGTTTGGTTTAGATGAGGGGAATAATTTCGGGTTTGCAGTGATGTGATTTAAAGATTAGTTCAGTATAAGGTTTGTTGAAATATTGCCTTAAGTAGTCATTCCATATCATTCCGATGCTCTCCAGCTTCCTATTCCATCCCGCTAGTCTGCATCGCTGCGTTCACCCATTGCTGAGAAAAGTGTGAGGTTTGTTGTTATTCCCTCAGTTCTCTTCCACGCTGATGAATTCTTTAGACAGTATGTTACATATGTTGTAATACATCACAAGGACGATGTCAAGTCTTGCATGCCATCTTATTTTATCTATCTTCCATCCGCTTTGTGTGCGTGTAATCTTTCAATAACCTGGTTCCAGAATTGTCTCGCTATCACTAGCAAAGTCTGCAAATACACCAACGTTCCTACATCCAAATTCTCAATTCTTACACTGGGCCTTGACTCATACTATACTACCAGGTACTCTTTCTTTTTTTGTACCTATCAACTCTTGCAGGTCCTTTATTCCAGTTTGATGTACAGACCGATGTTCACCTTTTTTTAAAAGGTTGTTCAGTGGATTTTGCGAATTGCATATTCCCTATTTAGCATTCATGGCATGACTTTGCAATTGTCATTTCAATCAATGGGCATTTCACCATAGCCCTTTTTCCAAGCTCAAAGATCGGTCGGAAGACCGGTGAATCCAACGTGAAGGACTTTGGAAAGAGAGTTAAAAGCGCAGGACCACTTGTCTGACCGTGGAGGACTTTGTGTGTCTAACGCAAGGAGTTTGAGGTGTGGACTGGTACCTGGCTTTTCTGGCCGCAGACGTGTCAGGACTGTCAGTGCTAGTACCCCCGATAATGTTACCCGGGTGAACCTGTCGCGAACAGGTTATGAGCCCAACGCATGGGGACTCTGCTGAAATGATGCTCAGAAGAAGAAGGTCTGAGCCTGATGATGAAGAGCCAAAGAAAGACCAAACAGCGTCAAGCACCCGGGCAAGCGCGAGGAACCAAGGGGCAGAGATGGCTCTAGTGGCAGTGGATAAGGAAAGGGTTGGAAAGCCTTCACCAAATGGTCCTGTTGGGGAAGATATGAAAACCCCCTTGCCAATAGAAGACTTTCCAGCAGAACCTGTAGGATCCCCTAAGGCCCTCCAGCCACTGTTCAATGAAGCTCAGCTAAAGAAGGCTGAGGAGCTCAGGTTGAGTGCACCACTTTTGCAGGGCCCAAGCCCCACCGCAGTAAGCCAGTCCACCGGCGGATGGGATGGGGGTTTGGCGGCAGGGAAGGTGGGAATGGGGAAGGAAGCTGACATGTCAGAGGGACCATCAAGGAAGGGTCCGGAAGTCTTGATGATGTCACCAATGGGATATCCCTTAGCACCTCAACATGGCTATGGATACGTGCCACACCACACACAACAAGGAATGTTTGATGAGATGATGTGGCAGTTTCGACAAGAAATGGGACAAATGTCAAAGTCTCTCACCCAGCTTCAAGAAGAAAATTTGAGGTTGAGGATTCAGCTTATGGAAGAACGAGAGACTAGATACACCACACCTCCCGATGTCACTCCTGCTGAAGGTCTCCGTGACAGCGCCCGCCGTCAGAAGGTTTCAGGAAAGAAGCCCAAGTCCAAAGGTGTAGAAGCCAAGCAGGAAAACTTTGAAGCTTCGAAGCCAAAGGAGGATGCAAGTCGAGGAGAACAGGAGGCTGAGACCCCCAAAGCAGAGGAGGAAGTGATTGGAAGGAAGCTTGAAGAAGTTTCTAAGGAGGATGGTCCAGCTGGACAGCAAGAGTCCAGTGAGGAGAGTCAATCGATTCAAGAAGAGGAGTCGGAAGATTCAGTGAATGTGAAAGATCACAAAGGAAGATCAAAAAAGGAGGACACCACAGTGGACGTGATGCTCAAGTTGATGCAAGGGATGCAATCGCTGCAACAACAGCTCTTGGATCGAGAGACGATCAGGGGCCAACGGCTAACAGAGGATGAAGAAGAGGAGCATGTGAGGAGCAGTGTAGAGCTGCACAAACTGCCGGAGTGGACAGCTGAAAATGCTCCGGTGGACTTACAGGACTGGTTGCTTCTCATCCAGCACAGATGTCGGATCTCACTACCAGCAGTTCAGAATGGTGGGGTCTAGTGGTTGAGACTGCGAAGGACTGGTACCACAAACACCAAGCCATGAAGCCCATCGACAAGCTGAAGCATGAAGTCAGGGCACCACCGCAACTACAGCAGAAGAAATGGAGAAGGTTGGAGAAGAGAGGAAGCAGTTTGCTTCTTCAGGCCTTGCCCAGTAGTCAGCGTGATGACATTGTGGCAGGGAAAGACCTTTCAGTGTTGGCGATTTTGGCAAAACTCCTCAACAACTACCAGCCTGGTGGTTCCCATGAAAAAGCAGCAGTGCTGGCCGCTTTGGAGCTGCCGGCAGAAGCGGTGGGGATCGGCGAGGGCATCCTGGGACTACGTCGTTGGTTGAGATGGAAGAAAAGGGCAGAAGACATGGGCCTTCAGTTGCCCGATCCATCGGTCCTTTTGAGGGGCCTGGACCGGCTGGTCTCCAAGATTTTGGCTGGCAATCCAACCTTGCAGTTTCGCATTAACCTGACGAGGACAACACTGATGGTGGATTCTGTGCCCACTATGTCTTCCATTGACCAGTTGGCCGAATGCTTACTGGCTGAGATGGACCAGGTCTCCTATGCCAAAAAGAAGGAAAAGGCAGCCATCGCAGGAGTTCCTAAAGCTCGGAAGATGGAGGAGGCAGGAAAAAGAAGCGAAGTGCCTCAAGCCAAGAAGGGCGATGAGGGTAAGAAGGAGATGCCAAAGTGTAAGTACTTCCTGACGGAGAATGGATGCCGTCGAGGAAAAGCTTGCAGATGGGATCACAACCAGAAGGATGACCAGCGTCGCTGCTGGAATTGCGGGTCCACAAAGCACTTCTCCAACAAATGTCCAGTGAGTGAGGGCCAAGGAGAAGTCAAAGTGGCCAAAGCCGAAAAAGATGGCGAAGCCAGAAAGAAGAAGAATGATGAGGAGGACAATCAGTCCGACCGAGCAGTTGCTGGAGCGGACGATATGAAGAGTCTACTGGAAGAAGCTGGAAAGATGCTGAAGGTGATTCCAGGAGCTTCGCAGGAAAGCTCATCGGTTGAAGAGACCGGTGATGCCAAAATCAGGAGACTTCAAAGACAGCTGGATGAGCTTCGAGCTTCTTCGGTGAGAGTGCTGCGATTGGCCAGGGTCCAAGCAGCTGTGGAAGATTTGGGACTCCTTGACAGCGGAGCTACCCATCCTCTTCGACCTCCAAAGAAAGATGAAGATATGTCCAAATGTCAAAAGGTGAGGATCAATCTGGCCGGAGGAAAACAAACAATGATGATGCTTTCAGAAGGTGGTGCCATCATAGGCTCTGAGGATGTGGAGCCCATCGTGCCACTGGGAGCGTTGGTGGAGAACTTGGGTTGCTCTTTGCAATGGACCGAAGGCCATATGGTCCTGTATCACCCCTTCAAGGGGCAGATTAGCACCCAGCTCAAAGAAGGTTGCCCGATGATCAACAAGTCTGATGCTTTGGAGTTGATCGAGGAGTTGGAAAAGAAGGCACCCGAGCTGAGGAGTGTAGAAGGATCCGCAGCTGAAGCCTACATGCACTGGATGAAGCGCTTGGTAGAAGAACACCCAGCACTTCAAGGAGTTCCAAAAAGAATCACAGAAAGGTTGGTGATCAGCCCTAAGGAAGGACATATCACCGGAAACCGAAGCCGAAGAAAGCTATGGAAGAAAGAAGGAGGTGTGACGTTGTACCTCTACTCAGGACCCAATGAAGGGTATACTATGGCCAAGGCCATTCAGCTTCTCGGAGGAGAAAAAAGAAAGGTCATAGCGGTGGACATCAAGAACGGAGCCAAATGGGATATGATGGAGGATGACCTCTATGCTGAGCTCATGGACATGGTCATCAAGGGCCAAGTGGAGTCCTTGGTGATGTCTCCAAATTGTCGCACTCGCTCAAAGCTCCGACACTATGAAGTTGAAGGAGTTGATCTTCCTGGACCGGTCCGAGAGTGGAACGGTGGAGAATGGGGAAAGAAGGGCATCGGAGAAAGAGAGGAGAAGAAGTGCCATGAGGATGATGTGATGCTCTTCAGAGGACTCATGCTCTACATGGTTGCCCAGGAGATCAGGAAAGCATCCCGCCACACTAAAGACATCGACCTTGTCTTTGAGCACCCCAGCACCCCGGCAAACATGCCACAGGTGGTAACGTTCTGGTCCACCCCCCAATGGCAAGCACTCAAGCAAGCATATGGCCTGTGGGAGATCCACTTAGACCAAGGGAAGCTTGGAGGAGGAGGGGTCAAACCCACAACGTTGGGCGGCAACTTGCGCATGCAAGTACCCAGCGTGGTCGTACCAGCACCACAACCTCGATGCACACATGGCAAAACAAAAGAGCAGATAGTGCAGGAATCCCAAAACCTTTCCAGATGGGTCCCTCTGCTTACCGACATGGTAGCATGCGCCCTGCTGGAGTCCCAAGGGATCACCCCGAAGTTGAGATCCTGGAGGACACATGTCCAACGATGCCACCAGCCTCTCAGAAAAGACTGCAAGGTATGTCAAGAGGCTGCAGCAAGAGCGAGACCTCACCGGCGTCAAAAACTTCCTCCAAGAGCTGGCGTTCTTTCGGTCGACATCGCTGGACCACTCACCAAAGCTCCAAACCTGGGCAAAGACCATGCTCGTTTTGTCCTGGTCGCGGCGTTCACCTGGCCTACAGGCCTGAAGGGTGACGACTTAGAAGAGTTGCCCGAGGAGGATGATGAGGATGATTTCCCAGGCTGGGAAGAAAATGAGGAGAA